TTTGAATTTCATAAAATAGCAACTTCAAACAACATTTTCAAAAATTAAATAATTTCAACTGGAAAAGTCATGGCTAGCGACCGAGCTAAGGCCATAAGTTCGCCTTTACATACGGCGTGTTCGCTGGTTGGTGTTGATGCTGGTTTGGGCTGGCTGGTGCTGGTTTTTTATGAGAGAAAAACACTATTGGCTGGTTGAATAAGCCTGGCTGAAACCAACAAGCGAACAAGGTGATAGAAAAGGACTCAGCGTTGATAATGGAAAATGATTTAACTATGCTTGAATATGAGTAATTAATGTAAATGATTTAATTATGCTGAATATGAGTAATTAATGTAAATAATCTTATATCTTCTTATTATTGCACAAACTGCTATTATACTTTTGAACTTGGTTTCATGTATATGCGCCAAACAAGACATCAACAGCTTATTTCGAACGTGACAAATATTCATGGGTAAGTTTGCTCCAACTCGTTGAGGCACGAGGCTAGGCAACAGACTGATCATCTTCACGTATCACAGACTACCCTGACACAGGGAAGAGCGCGGCGACGCCGCGCCAGTTTTCTAGTCTCTATAAACGAATCATGCATCAAAAGCGGGCTAACAGATAGGGCCACGTCGCCCGCAAACCCGCTAGCCGTCAGATCTGGTCAAGTCGCAATATGAACCGTCTGATCGGGGTTGTAGTGGGTCTCTGACCCGTCAAGCCGTCAACCCAGGCGGTCGTGACTCGTGAATCCTCGCGAACTTGCTCACGGACGACTCGGCCTCTCCGCGGCGTGTTCCTCTCCTCCAGTCGTCCGGTTGTCGTCCGCCGCCCCCGCACCTCCCTCCTCCTCCCGGGTCGGGCGGGGTGCGGGCGCCGTCCACCCCCGCCATCCCAGCGCCCCTCGCCCGCTGCGAGGTAGCCGAGGCCACCACGCCTGCGGCCCCCGCACGCGCCAAGGTGGCTGAGACCGCCGCGCCGGGGTCGCCACGCCGGGGACGCCGCGCTCACGATGGGCCACCGCCGGAGAGAGCGTCAGGGAGAGAAAGAGAGCTCCGTCTGCTTACCTGCAACGTGCTCTCCACCACGCTACGATGCACGGCCACCTCGCCGGGCGAACCGCGACCTCCACGTGGTCTACCGCCCGCGTCACCTCTCACCTTCCGCACCGCCGCGGTCGCAGGGACGCACCCCTGTCTGTTTCCCCCAGCACCGCCGTGGCTCCGACTAGTGGCGTGGGGCAGCACGACACCGAAGAAAGCTCAGAATAGCAGCTCCTCAAGGGACGCCCGCATGGTGTTAGATGAAATGTCAGTCCGAAAAACCATGGCTTCTATGCTGCTTCGTTGTTCTAAACCTACCTTAGACTATCGCCCCGCCATCTCCCCACGCCATCGCATCTCACTTGGTCATTATTGGTATCTGGAAGCTTGTAAGATGCAACGATGATGAGATGTGAAGAGGTGCAGGAAGAGCAATACTCAATCCTGCTCAGACACGTTTTTCTACATACTTAAATGTATTTCAGTTTGTTAATTCATATTATAGAGATTGTAGATTGTTCAGCTAGAAATCCATGCCAACTCTATTTGCTATAATATATATGCTCTATAAGTTCACATAGTGTCAAATTAAATGTTATCTGAATACTAAAGAGGTAATAATTAGCCATTCCGTGGTTAAAGTAAAGTAACTTTCTAATGTTTTCTACGGTGCATAATTTCAGTGCTGCACATTTGGTAATCAAATCAAATCCAACATTGATGCATAGAATTGTATCAAGGTCAGCAATTTGTACTGCCCATAGGCAATGAAGCTTTTACCAATATCTACTAATCCATGGCCATATGTGCATTATGATATATCATTGTTCCCTTAATGTGGTAATATAGAATCGCACAAACATAATTTTTTCATTCTCATTGCATAAATTATTTCTTATGCCAATGTATATAATATGTCATTCTTTTATACATAATATCTGGAGCATGACTATACATATGTAATCTGTTAAAGGCAATTTTATATTAGTCCCTGAACATTTTAGATTACCACGACTATTTAGTTTTTCAATCAATTATGATCTTGATTCATGTATGATTATTCATGTATAGTGCAGCCCTTATGTTAACTCTTCCTCTACCTTGCTCTCAAGTTCAGTTCTTATAGAGGTATATCCTTATCCTGCTAAACTTAATTTATATAATTATATTTTAATTTTAATTTCTGTGCAAACTACATATATTATTTCATTTGCATTCTTAATTACCTTCTCAAACCAATATACTGCTACAGGATCACATGCCCTCTCCTTTTCTTCTGACCAAGGAAATATAAGCAAATAACCATGGAGAATTCTTCCACTAGACTCAAAAACCAACAACTATGTGATAACCAGAGATACAAGTAAAGATAAATATATTATATGATGTTGCCTGTACTTATACTAATATTATTAATATGTTAGCAGTCATTTTATATTTCCCTAATGATATATTTCAATATACTCACCTGGTTGCTACTCTTTTGATTCAAACCAACCTCAATAGTTCATTTGTTCCCCATCTATTTCATTCTTTAGTTGCAAAACTGACATTTTTATCTCGCTCTCTCCTTTGGTTGCTTCGTCGAGTTCATCATGTGTGATGTGATGATTGATGTGATCTTCCCCCCACGTGCCCTGGCCGACAAGATCGCCGAGCTTACCGAGGTGGCTAAGGTACACCCAATCTCATTCCTTGCGTTTGTTATTGCTGTTCGTCATAGATGTAACTGGACATTCATCACATATCTCAAGGCAATAACCGGTTTCCTTCCCAGCAGTAGAAATAGAACAATAGTAACAGAAGCTCGTTTAAATTTGTTATCTCTATGTAAGAAAAAAAATGTGCACCAAGACATACCAAAATTTAACCAAATTGAAACGCCTCATATTTATTTGAATCCTTCTAATTTTTAAAACTCCAATCTCCATAGTTCCAAACTCCGATTGAGTAAAACTAAAGTATGCTGCCCATAATCAAAACTCAGTATAGGCATACATACCCAAAAGAGCATGTTCTGATTTTTTTCCCTTTTACACAATCTTGCAGCGCCTGTTCAACAGACAGTAACATGGAAACAGAAGACAAACTTGGAAGAGAAGGGTTATATAGCCATTACATGCTGCAGTAGTGCAGTCATTAGGAGTTCTAGCACCGTTGTGTATCTCCAAGTGGTGCCCCGTGGTGTCCGTCGTATATATTGCAATATATACAAAATTAGATCAAGAGATGTTGACATGTCTCCTTTGGTTATCACGAGTCCTAGACTTATGTTTTTCTGAATCGCCATACTATCTTGGCTTATCACATATTCTGAACTTCTTTTTCTATCTTCAAGTTGATATAGGCCATCATCCTTTCTTGAGAATGATTTTCTTAATCAGGCTATATACATCAATGTGTATAGAATCAAGTCCTATTCGCCTGCAGCTGCTGCTGCCCCGACACAGGATCATCCGCGCATGATTTCTAGTATATATGTAGGGCTTGTTCGGCTGGTTTGAATGGAGCACTGTTCGCGGAGGAATTTCACGGTTCACATATGGTTTGCTCACAAATTCCTCTAGATTCATCCAGATTCCTCCGAGCCAACTGGGCTGTAGCTCGCTCGGCGCTGGGATGATGGCGACGGGTCGGGGGGCCAAGAATGCACATGGGCAGTGCGGACTGCGGAGACGATGAGATATGGATCAAATAGATCCGATCGGGCTCTGCAAGAAATAAATGGACGGACCCAGAGATCAGTCAACTGCTCTCGCTCGCTCGCTCGCTCGCACGAATGATTAGCTAGCTAGGGTAGCGTGTTTAGGCTACCTCCATTTCACAGTGCCATACATATCAACGTCTATGGTTGTTGCATTGTACGCCGCGGCTGCAGTTTAAGATTGTCAACTCGTCTGCTGTGATTTCGTACTGATAAACATTTCTTTAGCTAGCAGGGAGATTTGGAAGCTGCCGGGTCGGTGAAGGTGAAGATCTCATATTATGAGGAGCTTACCTGGCTGGCTGTGTACACGATGGGACACGAGGCGCAGAGTCAACTGTTTAATTTGCACGGATGTATGGGCCACTAATTCCACGTGAAGAAGATGGGCGAGATGTATGCTGCTGTACTGTAGTAATTGGATTGGATATCACTATTTCGATGTTCCATCAGCCCACTTTATTATTAGTAAAAGTGGTGTGATTATATGACGGCCTGTTGTTTGATCGATGCGCTTTCCTTCTGGAAAGTAGTCTATCCTGCCGACAAGTTTATTATCAAGCAATGACCCAGTTTATCTACTTCCTTATACGTATATAGAGTGAGGGCGCATGCATGGGTTGTCTAATTAAGATCTCTAAAATGCACCAAATTATATGTAGGACACAGAGAGTATTATCTAACAGATAATAGGTCGATGAAATTACCATTTTGCATGTTCTCAACACCGTTGTGAGTATTTCTCACCCACTTTATAATTCTTGAATTTATTGTTCAAGTGTTTTAATCAATCATCGCTTAATAGGCCAAGGAAAGCCTTACTAGGGAGGCTATGTATAACTGTACTCACTCTTGTCCTCCTTAGTGCGCTGCAAGACGGCGCGCGTCGTGTAAAAACTTCCTCTACTTAATACGAAAGATGTGCAAACCTTTTGGAGAAAAAAATCAATCATCGCTTATACCCCTTATATAGCGTGAAATGTGACCATTTGTTGATAAAAGCACCGGTGCTCTTTCGGCCAGAAGCTGACGGCCGACTAGTATTCTGCCCGGCCTTAGATATATTGGGCCCTCTAGTCTGACGAGTCATCCGGCCCATGTGGTGAGAGCCGAAGGCTCGAAGCGTGTTCGTGGACTCCAATCCATCTTCTCTCTCTAGCGAGTCCACATCCACATCCACATCGGCGTGGTTCGAGCCCTGAGCCCTGAGTCCGTCGCCGGAGACGTCGCGCCTGCGCCTGCGCCTGCGTCCACCAACCACCATGGACGAAAAGGAGTTCCGAGGCATGCTCGACCTCTTCCCCGTCGTCCGCTCCCGGGACTACTGCGTAATCCTCCTCCTCCTCCAGCCCGCTACCCTCTCCTTTTCCGTCTGCCTGTGCCGCTAAGTCCCGGGTTCTGATTTGGGGATGTCCCAAGTCCCAAGCCGCGATCTGTGGCGTGGAACTCGATTGGGAATTCGGGGTAGCATAGTTTAATCTGCCTTTGTCGATTCCGGTGACCCGATCTTCTGTTGCGGCACACACTGCTTGCAGAGTGCAGCTCCGGGTTCCGAAATCAACTCGATGTTTGCAGAATTAGTTGCGGTAGAGGGCCATGTAATGTAGCCTTTGATTAGAGAACGTATTAAAGGTGATAGCACGTTAGCATCTTTTATAATGTTACTACTTTTGTATAGGTGCAATACTGCCACGAAGAAAGAAAAGGGAAGCGAATTTTATCCATGTGCCCTGAACACCCTAGTTTTTCTCCCCTTCTTTTGGGTAAAGGGGGATTGCTCATTTTCACCCTTTTTTAACAAAGAAAGCCCCTCTAGAATGGGAATGATGCCTATCTTGACAGTCCTGCCCAATAATAGCCGGAATGCTTCTAGAAAGGGGTTCCAGGTTTAGTGTGTTGCTTCTTGCCCCTCAAGATAAGCAGGCTAATATTAGTGTTACACCGTGCTTCCCCTGCCATTTAAGAAAGTAGGCATTGTTGGCCTCTTAAAGTGGGTAAATATTAGTGACAAACTTTGAGGTAGATTGACATCCTTGTCATCTCTGTGTTGAGCTACACGTAGTCACGCAATGTCATGAATGTTTGTTTCTATTTGAGTTCAAGGTTTGTGGTTGAGAGAGTATTACATGGGGGCATGGCCGCATGTGGCTATGGTGCTGCGCATTTATCTAAATAGAAAAAGCGGGTTGAACCAGAACAAAGAGCAATGTATCATAGGCACATTGATATGGAATCATAAGCAATTGTGTTAGATGTCCCTTTTGCCGACGTAACTGAATAAATATGGTTAGTTCTTATTTCCTGTTTTCAGACCTTTTGAGCATGAACTGATGCAATATTTTTTTGTGTGTGCCAAATGTAGGCCGATTCTGGATCATCCAACAGAGGAACTAGACAGCGATCACGAGTTCAGGTGTGTTTGATTTAGTTGTCGAGGTGCTACCTGATTATACCTGTTAACTATTGCTAATGAAGCTATTGCTTGCAGGAGGCAACAAAGGGCAATAACAAGGACTCATCCGATGCACAAGGTATGTCAGTCAATAGTTTGTTGTTCATCTCATCTCAATAAATTTATATTAGAAAACTATTGCTAAACCGACAATTGCCATGTCCATGTGTAACTGTATCCTTATGCTTCAAATCTAACCTCAACAATTATCGTTGTAGAGGCAAAGGCTGATGTCCCCCTTCATCCCTGTTCAGTTGAATCCAAGGGGCAGTTATTCATGATCTGGGATATCTGTTAGACTTAGGTCTTTAGTATGTGCTCTGGCAACAATTCGTCATATCCATGGTCGATGATCGGTTGTGCATGCATTATTCTCATGGATTTGCTCTCTATCAAACAACTGAGATGTTGATAACTACAACTGGTTACATCCCAATTCAACTTATTTTTACCTGATTCATTTGGATCTGGTTTTCCAAATTGGGTTCACAAGCAACTTATTATCAGCAACTGTAGTTTCTTTTACTCGACCTTTTTTCCCGTGAAAATCAATAATTGGCAGTAGAAATACCATTACTTCCAAAACATCAAACTGCAACCACACAATCCATCATTTACTACCATACAAATTTGATCCACGCAAAAGATACCTCTTACATATACAGTCTCTTACATATCTGATATGAAGGACCGAGCAGTTAAGCAATTGAATAACATGGCACTGAGATGTGCTTTCTGCAACAATTACTGAGTGACAAATACTTTTTCTCTAGGGTGTCCACTCAAAAAAAATTTCAATGAATTGAGGCCATTAGTAAATGCCCACCTAATGAATGGGAATGCCAACTTTGGCACTGTAGTAATGGCAAACGACACACTTTCTTTTATTCTGCATTCCACTAACAATTATAGAATAGATCTAATTATGCTCCGATGCCGTAGTGAAGTAGAATAGTCACTAATTTTCTTGCATGTTTCACAGATATGTTTTTGCAGAAGTTGAAGATGGCTGCGGAGAAAAAAGTACGTATATTTCTTTTCCAGTATCAGGAAGCTAGCAACTCGATGCAGTGGTGTGAAACATGTTCTAGAGCTTTGAGTAATGTTGTGTGTCTTTTAGGTTTGTTGTTCGAGGAAGAATAAATTGGGGCGAAAAAACTGGTTCCATGTATTAGAACATCTGAAGTTTGAAAAATTCTGCTGAATATTTCCAGTTCAGCTAAACACCACCCGACGACCCAAACTTATAGGAAAATACCACTTGTATCTCCATTAAGGCCATGCTTTTATCTCAGTGCCAATTGTTGGTAGCCTACTCCTTTGTACCACTCCCTTCTCTGTTCACCACTCAAGTTGTGACCCAAGTCTTTTGTGGTTATACCCATGGAGCTCCTGTTGGTCTGAGTGGCTGAGGGTTTGAGAGAAATGCTATTGAAGGATTTGCTAGGAGCTGACAAGCTTTTGGTGTATAGCTTGTCAAAGTAGAAGCTGTTCTTTTTTCATGTTGTTTGTGTTTTTTGGGAGAGAGGGAGGGAGGGAGGGATTGAAAACTGTTAACAGAAACCACTAGAGTCCCTTTGCCTCATTCTGGTGGTTTTACTGGAGTGAAACCAGTTTCTCCATAAATAGATAGAAAAGCTGTCATAAAAGCTTTTTAGTCTGTGGTTGTTCAGGAATTGCCAAGTCATTTTAAAAGTTAGGCAAAATAGATTGGTCTTCTTGGCTTCTGGCCTGTTAGATTGGTCTACCATTTGATGTCGATGGTAGCATCACTGCTCCACATCTGTCTTGGATACCATATTTCTGTTTATCGCATGCCACTTTCTTTGTTGGACTATATACTTGGGTAGTATTGTATGGTTGGTGCACTCTTGCACTACTCTCATGGATACCATATTTCTGTTTATCACATGCCATCTAACATCTTTGTTGGAATACATATTTGGGTAGCATTAACTATCTGGAAGTTCAAACACATTTTTTTCTTGTGGCTTAATAAATTGTTTTTGGCTCCCACTATGGCAGATTGGAGCGACAAAGGCAGAGTTCTTCTGCAAGGCATTTGAAGAAGCTCATGAGAAACTTGTACTGACACACCTCCCTCATTCGACATTTTAATACCAACAACTATTTATACACACTGAAGTTTATTTTCTGGGATTGACCCATGTGCGTGCAGGTTTACAAAGAGCTGAATTTGGATGCTGCTAAGAAGTTTCTGAGCGCATATGAGAGCTGATGATGAACAATAGATAGATGCTGCTCTAGGATCGGCTCATCGGCAGGTGCCAATGATCCTGGAAAGTTGTTGATGCTGTTGAGATTTTTATCATTGGCAAACTTAGGCCCTTGACGTGTTGTGTGCAGACAGTAGATAACCCTTCGTGGTCAGCTACAATTCTTTTTTTCAGATAAACGTTTGAAGTTGTCCATTTGTACACTGATATACGTCTTTCTGTGTTTGCACCTGTATTTGTTGTTCATTTTTTAAATTCTGTAAGGGAGGACATATTACTTCCCTTTTTCTCTAGATAGAATCCTTGCACCTGTATTTGTTGTCCTTTTTAGATTTTTCTTTAGATAGAATCCTTGAAGCTAAAGTCTTATCATGTGTAATCCTATACAACCAAGAATGCACCCATCTGTAGTTTGAGAAAACATTGGCGATGGAAAAGTAGGAGTTTGCAGTCACTTAGAGCAACTCCAGGGGTTCCTAAATGGACTCCATATTTAGATTTTTTTTGGCAAAAAGAAAGAAAGATCATTCTAACATTTTGGTAAACCCAATCGATGAGCTGGGGCTTCCTCATTCGTGATAGTGATGGAGATGTAGTTCTAACAGGGAGAGGAAAGGTTGATCACCTGCTGAGTGCGGTTCGTGGCTTCAACTGGCTGTGATAGGCTTTCTATGCTGAGTTAATTTCTTGGCATTGGTAGATTAATTTTTAGACTGACACTTTATTGGTCTAGCAAGAGCTATCATCAGCTGATTCATGCGCAAGACCTGAAGGTGGCCTCGTGGATGAGTTGACGTCTCTTGTTCTTTTGAACTTTCTACGATTGTAATTTTGATAGAGCAGCCCATGCCATGACAGCGCTGGACTATGAGTGTTGAGGGGGAAGAGATCATTTCAAAGAAAAAACACTACTCCTTAAAAGTAAATTGTCCCTCCAAGCCATAAATTTCCGTAGTTGTCCGGTATTTTTCTCGAGAGATCAAAGTACTGGACACATGAGTAAATTAAGAAAAGAAATAGTTCTAAATGAGAAAGTGGAAGACAAAGAAACTATTAAAAAACATCTGGTTGCTTAGAAATAGTTGAGGTTCCCAATGCAAAATCATTTAGGAAGCTGGTATAGAAAACTATTAGAGAGATAATAATTGTTGTTGCTACATATTTTGTTAACTCGCTATTAGTTTAGCAAGTTAATTATAGAAGAAACAGCTGGATTTGATTTGTAGTTCCAATTTTGAGAATTTTCACTAAATTTTCCTAAACAAAACCTGGTGAAACCGTTGGTTTATAAAGTCCAAAACATTTCTTTTTCTCTTGATTGACAAAACCATATATACATTTTCTTCAGGCACAAGAGTCATGATCAGATATATCAATGCGGATATAGAACATGTACCAACTATGCGATCCAACGGCACACCGCACGCATAGAAGGCACCCAAATCCTTAACCAGCATCGACGATCAAATAGCAACAGCCAACATCGCCTTTGATGGATCGTGCGCGTCCTAACAATAAGTACTCAATCCGTCCCAAATTATAAAATGCTTTGACTTTTCTAGATACATAGCTTTTACTATACACATAGATATATACTATGTCTAGATACATATTAAAAACAATGTATATAAAAACGCCAAAATGTTTTATAATTTAGAACTGAGGGAGTAATAAATCACTTGAACAGTCAACGAAAAATAGAGAGGACTGCAACAAGGGACAGGGGGGCGAACAAAATATTCAAGGGAACCACTTCAAACGCCAAAGTTTGCTAGCAAAAAGAAACAAGCAACAAATCTTATCCTTATGATGTTTCACCACAAATTCTATGACATCACGACAGTTCAGAGTACTTTCTCAGGGACTTTGCTCCCAGCATCAGATCCTACGCATCTCACACTAGAACCAACGACTAGTGACAGGCTTGCTGCTGATCTGGATCAGTCCACAAGTGCGCCCAAAATGTCGTGCTCTCGGAAGAGGAGGTACCTGAAATTTTTCAGAAGAGGGCTCAGATTAAGTACCAGAGAAAGAATTGAAATGGCACTAAACAGAAAAAATAATCTTGAATGATAACAAATCCAACAAAAAGTTGACATGGTATTTGCGACCCATAACTGATTGTGTTGCCAGTTAGCAAACAAAGGTTAAGATACAGCATGTCTTTTCTAAGTCACAAAAAGCATAGCTGACAAGCAGTATCAAACAGCCCAAAAACAATACAACATTTGACACAATTAAAACAGTCACTATCATGATTCCATATCATATCATGGGTTTGTGTCTGTTCAGCATACATCTTGATGATTTCATAAAACAGCAAATAATTACATCTGCAGGACAGTTTTTATAATTACAACAGTTCTATTGTGTGCCTAATTGATAGATTAATCAGGCAGTAGCAATATAGCACAACATTTTCAAGCACAGAAGAACGGTTCACCTACTCTTTATCAGCCGCAAGCTTGACTTCAGTTCCACCATACTCAGGCAGAAGAACAGTGTCGCCTTCCTTCAGAGCAACTGGGATCAGATTGCCTGCCTTGTCGCGCTCACCAGGACCAACAGCCACCACTTTAGCAGCATTCAGCTGCAACAAGAGCAACATATCGTCAAGCAGAAAATTGATTCTACAGCCAGAATAATTCGTTTCTCCAATTGAACACACCCAAATACAATGCTGAATACTAATTAATAAGTCAAAAGTGAAAACAAAAGTCAAATCTTTATCTGATAGTCTTCAGAACATAAACATTGTCAAACAGTGAATTAATGCACAGTTCAAAAACATAAGCTAATTCAATTCTACAGTTGAACACCAACACTATCCAAAAGCCAATATAAAAAAATGTAAACTGCAACTAGCCATTAAAAACGTGAAAATAAATAGAATTGCAGATAGCCACCTGCACAGGAACAATTTCAGGTAAAAAATTGGTTATGCACTTCAAACAATAGCAACTTTATCTTACTTACCGTTTTGAACTATTTGGAAGTTGGAACTGCAGATAACCATAAAGCATGCAATTTCACAAATATAAATTATAATAGCTACTTGAACGATAAAATTGCTACAGCTAAGGTAACAGCACTACCAAGAATCACAGCCTACACCAAGCAATCTGAGTCACTCAACTAATCACAACCCAATCAGAACTAACTTCACCAGAGGGAGGAAGCACCTTTGAGGATTTTTTTAGCTGCTTCCAACTATTCGCAACCTACAAAGCGATCCAAATCGCCCAACCTGGCGCGGAACACCTTGCCTGACAACATGATCTAAACACCCCCTCGCCGACAATCCACGCAAATTGAATCCACTACACTACTCAAAGCAACAATAGCAAGACGGGGGACTGGCGTCGGGCGGGCGATGGTGCTACCTGCTTGGATGTTTCCGGGAGGAGGATGCCGCCGGCGGTCTTCTTGGGCTGCACCAGCTTCTCCACCAGCACCCGGTTCAGCGACGGGAGCAGCCTCTTCGCCATCGCCGCCCTCCTCTCCTTCCCCTTCTTCTTGAGCAGCAAGCCAAAGAAGAAAGGAAAAGCTCGAAACTTCCACTCGCTTCACCGCCAACCGATCAGCCTGGGGTTTAGGGTTTTATGGACGGACGCGGGGGCAGCGGAAAAATTACGAGCCTACCCCTGGGAGATCGTGCGCCGCGCCGCCGCAACGTGCTCCGGCCTCTCGGGTGCCCTCTAGAACGTTCCTCGCTGGCTGGGCTGGGCCAAGCCTCATGTATCCCGGGTGGCCCACTGATTTCACTAACAACATTTTTTCGGCCCGCTAAGGACGAGATTCTTTGATGTGTCGTTGAAAGCCGATGGCCCATTTATTCGGGTTTTGGGTCCATAGGCCTAGAACACGATCCAGCGGCCCAACCCAGCAGGTGGGTTAAGGTTTGGAGTGACGCCGCGGCGACCTCCACTGCAGTAGTCCTTGTTGCCGGCGGCGGCGGCGGCCCATTTATTCGGGTTTTGGGTCCATAGGCCTAGAACACGATCCAGCGGCCCAACCCAGCAGGTGGGTTAAGGTTTGGAGTGACGCCGCGGCGACCTCCACTGCAGTAGTCCTTGTTGCCGGCGGCGGCGGCGAGAAGTTCGGCGAACGATGGCGGACTCCGGTAGCCCGAGGAAGCGGGAGGAGAAGGAAGAGGAGGAGGACATCGTCTGTCTGGATCCGTCTTTCTTCGTGGACCGCAGGTATGCGCGTCGTCCGTTATTCGTTTTGTGCGCTAGCGTGGTGAAGAGCTGAGGATTGGTTTCGTTTGCTGAATTGCTGGGTTCGTCTATGCGGGCAGCTACGAGATGACGACCTTCACCTTCGGGTCCCTGGAGTTGCGCCTCCTCTGCCTCCGCGCCGCTTCCAGTTAGTGCTTCTTGCTCCTCATAGATTTCATTTCTTTGAGAGTAAAATGGATTTGTGTTCTGCAAAATGGGTGATGCAGTTGTTCTACTGGTCAATTGGTAGTTTCTTGAACTGGGGATCTAGTAATTTTTTTTAGCTTCAAGAGTTTTGAAGAAGAGAAACTGGGGAGCTAATACAAGGGTCGCTGGGCATGGTTGATTGAATACAGTGTTTTACTGCTCAATATGTTCACCCATTTTTGGTATCAGTACTGCAGCACAACTGTTCTGTTTGATCCTTTAGTGCTTGTACAGTGGATGCAGTCATCGGTGATAAATTCTGTGCTTGCTGTTTCATTTGCTGAATCAGCTGTTACTGGAGTCTGTAGTATGCATATGCTTCATGCCTTGCTGCCTTGTTTTACTTGATGTAGTGGTGCTCGAGATATTGTCGTGACAGGTGTTTTTGTTCATTTTCTTATTTTGGCTTTCATAGCAGTAACGTTGGATGTTCATTACACAATCATGTGACTTAGGACCACTTTTGCCTCACATTCCTCGTGATCAGACAAATGAATGGTCATATTATAAATTCTTGTCACTAGATGACTGTTATGTCTTATTCAATCCCTTCATTTGCCTTTTATATCCAACTG